ACATTTTATAGACCTACTGCTGCACTGGAAACAGCTACAGATGCATAGATTATCTTAATCTGGTTTAAGATCAACCCAGCTGTACACTTAATACGATTGCACTGAAGCCTTTCACTGCGACATTGTACGTAGAGAAGTCGTTACTACGATACTCTATGCGGATTTGCAATCTCAAGATATAGAATATCGACGAGCCGACACGACTGTCTCGGCTTTACTTCGACTATTACATTCCCTACATCCAACACATTGCTTTGTACTTACAATTGTGATTGGAAGTTACGGTCGAATACTGTTAAGACATTTAACAATGTAACTGCGTCTTAATCAAACATAAGGTCAAGCTTAGAGCGCGCGCACACTGACTAAACTATCACACGACTCTCTAGTTTAGACCTTACATAGAAAGTACTCTACTCAATTAAATAGTTGAATAGGCTGTGAAACAATCGACAATCGCACAACTGTTGTGCGATAGTTTAGTCAAATGTATACGCCCGCTCTTAAACTCTAAATTTAATTAAAATTTCAATATCTGCCGGAATGTAAACGGCGCTTACGGAGTGTATAAGCTTCGTTTCAGTAGTTCGGCGTGAAAGAAATGTGTCATATATTTGTAACATTAGACTTTGTGATGTCTACCATCCCTTTTATGGTATAGCATATGTAGGAAATGCAGATTGAACACAAAGATACGCTGGTCTGTTGTTTTAGTGTACGGTAATTGAACAATATTTGATTGCATAACATATCAGTTAATGCTTGTAACAGATTTGAAAGCCCATTAACAAATCTGTTAGTTTATAATTACAGGAAATTGAAGCTCAAATGTAGTTATGCTTTAACATATCTCATGGGTTTCTACTCTACATTTTAAATCATGTATATATACGATTATACACGTACTTAAATTTATTTCGTAATTGATCTGAGGCTATTCCGTGAGCTGTGTAAGGTGGACTGATCCATTGCCTGCCCTCTGGCAAAATACGCACCATACCAACAGATTTTTACACTGTTTCATTTAATAAGTGTGTACACATTATTATGTCGCCATTAAAGTGCTGTAATGCATCTATTATAGTTACTTATTTATTATTCTTCAGCTGTGAAGCTTACTTCGTGTGTGAAGATAAAGTTTAAGTTTTATAAAAATTGCATCAATTCACATGCATAAATAGTAATGTAACTTTGTTATCTATCTCGTTATAAAGTACACAGGGAGCCATTTAGCTGGCAGTTGCCAGTTCCCGGTCTATTAGCCGTTACAAAGGAGGCAATAACTTTTACATCGCACTCAACACTTTCCAACTCTATTGTTCAATTGTCCACATTTGATGTAGAAATTGTATTATTCCTTTAAAAAGTTTTATAATAATTTTATTTAAGTCAAACTGAATTATTCTCATTGTTATTTTAATAGTTCGTCGTCTGCTCTACTTATTTAAAATTCAATGCTCTCATTATGCAACTATTGCATAAGAATTAAAGTGCCGTAAGCAAAATTTTCTTAGCAACGTCCTTAGTTATTACTTTATCTTTAGTGTCTTTTTTCTTCAGTTTACTGTCTTCTTCAGTAAGCTCTAGTAACATAATTTAATATAAATCTATTCCATTCATTTTTAATTAATTGTTGTCGTCTTTCTTTACAACTCGTATAATCTTGAAACAGACAGAAACAGAACGTCATCAACATGAGACACAAATGTTATGCAAATTTTGTCGATAACGTGTCTAGTCGTTATAAAATTTGTAAACGATATTCGATCAATTTGTAGTATTTAGGATATGCAATAAAAGTCGATTAGAGTTTATAGTTTTATTTATTGTTCGTCAGTGTACTTCATCAAATAACTTTATTTAAAATAGTAATTTTATCGAGTGCAAAAATAAGTATGTTACCTATATGACTGGTGCTTTCAAAATTCTATTCAAATTACAATAGTAAATACAAATGTTAGGTCAAATTTAAAATATCTTATAATAGAAGCAGTCGAAGTCATATTTAAATAGCCCACGACTGAATAATTCTCATTTTCATAAGATGAAGGTCAGATTCTTTTGCAACATTCCAATACTGAATATAAATTAACAATACACATTAGAATAGAAACTTGATATACTCACAAATACTAATAAATAAAATTTAATTGGAATTAAATGTTAAAAACCTTTAATAACAATCTTATGAGATTTCGTTAACTAGAATATTTATAACAGCACAAAAAGTTTAACTTTCAAGCAACAATTTACTAATAAATTAACTAACAACAATTCAAACTTAAACATATAAATCAAACATTTTTATCTTAGAAACATAATTCATCATCACACATGATTCATTTACTGTTTAAGATGTCTTAAGTAACAATGCCATTAATTATAAAAATATGTTTATTTTTTAAAAACAATTGGAATGCTATAGTATTGCCACTTAACAATCATTTCCATAAACAAATACAGATTAACATAATTGATAAAAGATTAATTCGAGGATTTAATAAAAAATGTATTATCATGATATACAAATTAAATGGAATGTTACGATTATTTTACTATATTAAAATTATTATGGACATTGATACAACCTACTGATAATGTTTGAAAGTTGAATGTCACTGGCAGAACTGAATATAAACATAAGTTATGAATTTACAGTTTAGTCAAAGCATTAACTTTACTTACTAAATAATACCAAATTTTATTTTTTATAAATTAAGGGTGGTATTTACGAATTTGTGTAAGAACATTATTAAATCATCAGATAATTTATAAATCTAAGCTACGCCAGATTATTATTAAAAACATTTCACTAGCGTTGTAAGGAATTCTAAATCAGTGTGTGAAATATTTTCTAGTGAAATATAATCGCTATGCCATTATTAAAGTAGAATTTGGTCGAGAAATATACTAGTGATCTAATATATACATAAGAGATATATAATACAAAATATTCGAATGAAGGCCTCCGATACATTATGTACAAGGACAAGTAATATCTAATAGGAAAGTATCACTAGTGCTTAAGGTTGTTTAAGATTTAAATTGGCTTAAATACATTGTAAACATTATTATTAGTAACTGTACAATATATGAATATTTGTAATTAAGGGTTCGCGGACAGTCAGCAAATGGTACTTATGAAATATATTTAATTACAAAGTATAGTTTCACAATAGAAGCGGTGCTACAGAATCAAATGTACAACAATCAATTGTTTACTCTATTGTTTCTAATTCGCCATTGATTAAAAGTAAAGGAGATGCGATGTGAGATTCGTTGCTGATCAAATTAAGAGCGCGCGCACATCTTTGACTAAACCATCGTATAACTGTTTAGTCTCGCTTTGATTTCTACGAGTTTATATGGAGCTGAACACACTACTCGATTTTTAGTTGTGCCCCTAAACAGTTGAATAGGCTGCGGGATAATCGCACAACTGTTTTGTGATAGTTTAGTTAAAAGTGTGCGCCCGCTCTAATATATTTTAGATTTCGTTGAGCACTAAACTATATTTAGTAAACACAAAAAAAAAATTATGTACAATAAAAGGACAAATCAATTCTCATCAGATCTCAAGGTTAAATCGTACTGATATGCAACTTAATCGACAGATGCATAGAATGTTTACCGAATAGAGTACCACAGAATTCTCAACGCCGAATCATTCATACAAAAAACATTAAGTTTCTCTCAAATGGACACAAGATGTTTTTGTTTCAATGTTGGCAATGAAAATTCGCAGTAAATCTGATAAAGCTCGAAACATGTTCGCTAGTTAAGGACACAAGGCGAGGGAACATCAATCGCTCTTACATTATAATGAACTTAATTTTTACATTACGATCAAATTTCTCACAGCTTTGTCTTTCATTGGTCGCTTATCAGCGAATAGTTAAGAGTAAATTCGTTTTATACTAAAACTATTAGGTACATCATCTATAAGTAGAGGTATTTGCGTTACAGTCATAATAATAAATTACATATAATATCCAATCTGAATAATATTTACGAGATAAATATTACAAATAGACTAATGTGATAATGAGGCACTGAAGTACAATGTGTAAGGAAACTACACAACTCGCAAGTTTAGGAATGCGATATAATTTTAAGTGAATGACGTCAAAGAATAAATATAGACATTACAAGCTTGAGATCAAACTACAATACATAAGGATGTTGAATAAAAAGTTAAGATTATCGGGCAAATTCGAAATAATGAAAGATAATTAGAATTATGTAACCCTTAACCTATAAATAAATTAAGCATACAATACAATGTGCTTAATTTAAAGCAGATTAATATTAACGAGACCAAATTCTTGCATCTACAGCTAAAACAACGGCAATAACGAGTGCTTTTAAATTGCTTTCGATTTTCAGGCGCGCGTTACACAACCTTCACTGATCAATCGTTTCATAGCATTAGCTGAAACATTTACAAGACATGTCTCTCACTCTCATTAAATGGCAACATGTTTATGTAAACATTTCGGCAGTGCAAACCCATCTAGTCATAATTTAATTACAGAATAAATAATTAAGAATTTTATCACACTGTCTTATATCTAGAATATGCAAATAAGCGATTTAACGATATTAGTTCGTCACTAAATGGAGAAAAGAATTATTTCGCTTAAAGCATATTAATATTCTTACATTAATCAATCAGGAAAATCAATTTAATTTAACAATTGCAAAACATGTACTTTAAATCCTCTATGTATTAAATTATTAAGTCGTTTTAATGGCTCATAATTTTCTTATGTAGCTTAAATCTATGTAATTTTTACTACGAAAAAAATATATATGTCACGAACTTTCGAATTAAGGAAATTTAAATCACAATTTAGTTCTTAACCAATGATAGTAGTAGTGTCATTAGGAAATCGTATATCCGTGACATTTGTCCATTTTTAAAAAGAGATTTATTAATTTGAAATTTCATCCTATTATTTGAATTTTAAAAATGAAATATCATAATTGAAATTGTCTTAATCTAAAAATGTTAAAGAAAGATTATTATTTTTTATGTCAAAATGTAATTAAAGTTATTTATATTAAAAGCACAAATTTGAATATCACTGGTTTGAGTATAATATTCAATATTTTAAGAGTCTTTAATCATTTATATTAGTATCCTTGTACTTCTAGAAGTCGTTGCACATACAATTAACTGCATTTCAGATCTTTTGATCTATGTCATTAATAATTTTCATACTGCCGTTTCCAAGTCTTCGGAAACTAGTTGAAAATGTTCTTGGCCTGAAAAAAACATTGCATCAATACAAATCAAAACAGCAATAGCCCGTTGTCTAGCCTAGAAGTTTTACAGTAGTCCAGTTCTTGTACTGTACAAGTGCAGTTGGCTTAAGTATAAGTAACTTATAAAACCTTAATTCGACGGAGGTTTTTGTAGCAAAAAAAAAATATGTTTTCAACAAATCAAAATGAAAATCTCATTTATTTTTCTCTAAACTAAAAGTAGTAGATTTTTTTAATTGTTTACCACACTGGATACTATTGAATTAAGGAATAAAATTAGTGTAACTATTTTTGTTTCTATATGATACTTACTTTCTAAGTAAGCCGCTAAATCATGGTCTTCAGCGCGTAGAGCTAGATGTCGCGGTGTTAGGCCGGCGTGGTCCTGGCGGGTCAAAGACGCGCCCCCAGCTACCAGCATGCAGCAAATTGCCCGTCGCTTGTGAGCAGCCGCTTTATGTAGGGCAGTCTGTCCCCGTTCGTTGTCGCGCATGTTCAGTATAGTAGTAGGAGCGCAAGCTATCAGATATTTTACGACCTCCTTGTTACCGTACCGCGCTGCTATGTGGAGTGCGGTCTGACCGGTAGCGTCGATTGAAAGGAGCGAGTACCCAGCAGCGTGAAGGTCTTTAACCTATTAAATAATGGCCACATTTAAATAAACCATTTACCAGCTTTCGAACATTATCTCGTATAATCTCCTTTTTCCATACAATGCAATGTAAGCGATGATATGTAGCGATTGTACAAATCACCACATAAATTACGAAACATTCACAAGATATAAAAGTTTACGATTACAATTATCTATGAGAATATGCGGGCCAACATCTTGTCATCTCTATAACTTGGTACTAAATTGATCTACTTAAACTTCGATAAACCTTACCATTCTCAAATCTCCCACTTTAGCCGCTTTAAGAAGAGAATCGGATGTCTTTTCCAATAAATTTCTGGAACAAAGAACGACATGATAAATATTGTATACTGAGAAAACTTAAACATAAAAATACACATATAAATATTTTTTATAAAGAAAAATATATAACATATTATTATTTAATTTTATAAAATAACTAAATTTTCCTAAATCCCTGATTGTTTATTTTTAAACTGAAATAAGAATTGATTATTTTAAAAACTACCAGGAAACTATAATTGAGTATCGCCTCACCTATAGCCAAACACTTCTTGATCAAGTCCGAACAGTTTTTCGTGAATGCTGCATGCAATAGAAGACAGAAGAAATAGAGTGCAGATAGAAGTCCAAACAAGTGAGCTACATTCATAGCATCAGAATCTAACATATCTAATACTACATCAGTGTAGTTTCTAGACAAACAGTGGATACAAAAAATTGTAATTATAAAGAGACAACTCTAAACATTTGTTAGGCTATTTCTTTCGTCAAAATGTGAGTGCATACACAACTTCTAAAATCTCTTGTGTTGTATTGCTACTACTAACAATAGAGGGCCCTGGTACAGATTTCAGAAGAGGGCAGAGTTGTACATATATAATATTTATTGCTATCGCTAACTAAATTAATTTAATTTCTTTGAATGAATTTGTGCCTTAAATACTACAATGCTTCGTCTAGAAGAACTACTAAAGTAAAATTTAGTTTATCTAATAGTTCTAGAATTATATAAATAAGTAGTATAATATAATACATAAGAACATTCAATAAACGCTATAATTATATATTTATAATACTAATACCCTATTGTATAAGAAAATTAGCGTTTTATATTATATTTTCACATCCTTAACTTACACACTCTCATTGATGAGATCAAATCCTTGTAAGATACTGAAAATAATGCTTATTTGTAAAAAGGATTTTTATTTTTTAATCTCATAAATTTTTAACTAGAACTTACATAACTTTAATAGAAAATGTAACCATCATGAGTGACAGTGATAGTTGTCAAAAATGGAATTTCCGTTTGTAATTTAGAAATTGCTTCGTCTATATTGTTAAATATAAAACTCAATTCAAACTTACGTCTTAAAGCGGGCTATTGAATCACGTGTTGCTTCGTTTTCTTTGGCCGGTGGGCTTGTACACAGCGGCGGTGAGTTGGTATCCTGGGTGGACAGTTTGGGAGTGAGTGCTCGTGAGATCGGAGCCTTGGGGGAAGTGGAGAGGGATATCTTGGGTGCGGTGAGTGCGGGGGAGGAGGGGGCCGTTGCCGCTGCGGACGGCGGCGTCTGCGGGCTCTGTGGCTCGTCAGAGGTCCTCGCAGGGCTTCCCAAACCAGATTCACTACACCACAAATGTACACAAAGGTTTAAAATGCTATTATCTCAACTACTAGTAATCATAAATGTAATCCCTTTATACCTTGCGTGTGATTCAGGAACATCCAAGGACACACCGGCACTAGGGGTGTCAACGCTTTGAGATATGTCCAGCGAGACCGAGAGTCCAGTAGTGGTGTCTAGTGACACGGAGGGTCCGGTACGGTCGAAGGAGGGCGTGGCGGTTGTTTCCGGATGCGCCGTGCTTTCGGTGTCCGGCGTTTGCGGCGCCGCGTCCAGTATGTAGATGTTCTCATGACCGATGTCGGTCGCGTAGTGGAGATTCTCTTGAGCTTTGTCTATCCGGAAGAACCGTTCCGCTGTCACCGCTGCAAAGAATAATAGCTATTTTTATTCGTTTCAAGTGTGTTCCTTGCATATATGATATTCCAAAAAAACATTTGGACTTAAATGATAAAAGATTTCAAATTATTTGGTGCAAGATTTGTAATTTTAAGTACGTGACCGACTTATAGGTTAACGAGCGTCTTATCTCAAGTAACAGTGAGACAACTCACAGTCAACAAACCACCAATCGACAATGCTCGAGTACGCTTGAGATTCTTTGATCATGTTCTGTATAAGAGACCGCATCTGCTCCAAGTCAGCCGATGGATTTACTTCTAAAGTGCCAATACGTTCCGCTGTAAAGATGAAAAATAAATTATTAAAATGTAGTTTTAACCTCACAGTAACTAATTTAATTCATTTACTAAAAAGTTACTTGTGTTATATCAAATATAGCAAAGATATTCTAATTTAAAAAAAATCGCATGAAACAAAGCTTAACTCACTAAAGCTAGCTGTTTTTTTAAGAATAAAATTAACTAACTAAGTACTAAAAAACCGGGAGAGACTATTTCACATACGTCATTGAATTGATATTTTTAAGCATAAGGAGGTTGTGAAAGTTATTGTTAGTACCTGTGTTTGCAAGGAGTTCTTTATCGTAGTGGTGCCTCTCGTAATCGGCCATTGTAATGAGATTCACAGTGAGTGACAATTTATCTAACGTCGTTTGTCTGTAAAAATTTAAAATAATTTAAAGGGGGCTTTTTCTTTGCATAAAGTAATAAAAAATTAAGATTGATTAAAAGACTGAGCTTATTTAGAATTGATTATAATTTTTATCTTTTTAAGCATTCTATTAAAGGTAATATTGATTGCTTTGTTCTATATTTAATATTTAATAAATTAATAATAGATATTTTCAATAGACTCAAAATAGCTATAAAATTTAGCAGTTTGACGCCATATTTATTCTATTAACATAGATACTATTAAAAGATAAGAATTATTTACAATTTCTACAATCCAAACAAATCTCTCGTTCCTTTATGTTAAATATATTTATTGAAATATAATAAATATTGCCCTTTAGTGTGTCCGCTATCTAAATGACAAACGATCGTCAAGGGAGTTCTTTGCGATACTCAGTCATTTTTGTACAATATTATTTTGATTCAGTCATATTTAATCACGCATGGAAAACTCAGTGACTGTCAATTTGAAAGCATATAACTTTATTATCTGTACATTTATTTAACTATGTTTCTATTTGAAATACTTGTATAATGTCATGCCTCTTAATCTCTTAGAAAAAAAACAAGAGACAATATATATTAGTACAAGGTTTTCGATAATTGTACCGGTAATATGTTCAGTCGCATGCGAGGAAAAAAGTTAGTGTTAAAGTAGGAATTGTTGTAAACTCACGGTACTAGTACTCGACCGGGCTTTTTCTTGGCGAGCATGATCGCCTGGTTCAGTATAGAGAGGGTAATAACTGAGGGTGCCAATCGACAAGCCTCTCCGTCCACTTGCATCGGTATAACTTTGGTTGTTACAATTTTTGCTGTTTTGCATTGAGTAATGCAAGTCCCGTGGCCTCCAGCTTGTAGTAGAGGCTACAAATGAATATTCTATTTAATAAAAATTTAAAAATCAAAGTGTTTCTATAGAATATTTGTTGTGGATGTAAAGGCAATTAAAAGGTCTTATCTGATGGGATAAGTTTACAAATAAATCCAGACAATCTTAAAATAGATTAAGGGTAGGACCAAACTGTTAAGGTTGCCGAACAGAAAGCACTATCTATTTCAAAAGATTTGTGGGAAAGACTTGCTTCTATAATCAAAATCATTAATATGGGATATTTATTTACGTACCAATTGATATGTGGTTAAACCAACAACTTCTATTAAACCGTCTTCCGTGGACGGTTCATGTGCCCCTCCTGATTTGTTCCAAGGATGCGTTCCACCGCCATAGCTAAAATAAAATGAAATTGATTGGTTTTGGGGCACAAGTTTTCCCTTCTCTTTTATCAATTCTAAAAAAAGGAATTTAAATAATAGCTTATAATTTAACTTCACACATTACCTTGGAATGTTTAGAAATACAATAGCGTGCACTTTATGTTCCCGGAGCACGTGCGTGAGATCCTTTCCATCGCATTCCATAGTGACAAATTCCGCAAGACCCTTCCACTTGCGCTGCATGAGATCTTTTCCGCCCGCCGTGCCGTAAAACAGCTTATTTCTGATACGAGAGTTGAATTTTTCCGGGTGTGCCTCTAAAACAAAAGATATATATTAGTACCAAAGTTACCAATGTAAACTTGTATTATATATCGCATATACTACCTTACGAATGGCGCAAATTACGTAAAAGTATTATACGAAGTAAATTTTATCGAAAAATATTGAAGCGCCTGTTAGAAAATAATGGTTATGTTTCAAATGTACCTCTAGCTTCGTGGAATTCTAAGGCGATGTGAGCGTCAACTCCGAAGGAGAAGTAGTTGTTGACAACATTGAGAGGTAAGTCGGGTTTGGCGTTACTCGTGTCTTCGCCAGATGCCGCTGCATTCGGCTCCACCGTAAGCTGCCATCGGTCTAGTAGTACAGTATCACTCTCTCCGATATGCGCCAATATTTTCGATATTGGTTCATCCTCATAACCCTATTATTAAAAAATTGGTCAATACTAATTATAGGTACATTTAAAGCCTTTCCCTTACTTGTTAATGATTAGATTATTGTTAAGGTCAAAGTTGGCCGTTTAATATGTAGTTATGTGACAATTTTCTCATAAAATTGTAGAAATCTCGTCTAAGCAGTGTATTGAGACACATCAGTCTCCCTGTAAACTAAATTCACGAGTTAATTTGCTTTCTTAGGAACGATGAAGTTCCATACATAATGTTTGAACACAATATAATAAATGTTCGTGAGATTACCCCGCCCCATCCCAAGGCTCGTGCGAGATCGTTGCCGGTGCCGAGGGGCAGCACGCCGACGGCCGGCCGCGAGCCGATGCGGTCGAGCACGCTGAGCACCCAGCCCACTGTGCCGTCTCCGCCACACGCCAACACGCGCAAGTTCGGCACTTTGCGGAACATCTCCAAGCTGGTATCAAATTAACGAATAATAATAAAAAAATACTTATAAAGCCATATGTTGTCTATAGCTCTCTGCATTGAGCACACAGAAATGTTTCAATAATGTATTTCTCGCAAAAACATTTCTTTTTAGAGTACTTTTTTTATTTTACATAAAAATTGTTTTTTTTTTAGTTAACAATGTTCAATTATAACAAAACAAACGTCAGACTGTTCACAGCTTATATGGAGCAGAAGGATTAAAGTCAATAATTCTGAACAGCGTATAATCCTTAAGTAAAGTTGCTGTAATAAATTTGAAATAAAAATATGTTTTTAATCGGCTATTGAAAGTTTAGAAAAGCATACAAATTGGAAAATAAATTGATAATAGTTATAATTTAAATTTTTATTTCTGTCACAATTCACTTAACAAAATTACTTTTTGTAAAAGTAATACCAGTGAGATGTAGTATTCAATATCAATTTACTTGTAACAGACGAAGCGTGGGTATAACAATAACTCATAAAATCAATTTATTATATCGTGAGGTTAAACAGCCGCAGTGAAACTTTAAGATTAATAGTTTTCGAGTATACAGTTCACTCGCATCTAATAATTCTAATTGATAAATGATGAAGAGAGCTTTTGGGACACTCTGCAGATGAATCGAATCGACTACCAATTGCCATTAGCTGAACAATCTCTGAGATCGTTTTATTAAGCCGTGGATTGGCGCAGCGAGCTCGCAAGAATTTAATCCCTCTTTGCGACTGCTATCCTCGGCTAGGAAACGAAAGGATAGTCGAAGTCAATGTTCAGTTTTTCATCGTATTTTTGCAGATTAGATGCAGTTGAAAAGTATTAACTTTTATACAACGTCCACTCTAATTTATATACCACGATTATAGCTATTTAAACGTTATTTTAATTTCCTTTTGTCGCGACTTTCTAAACACCATCACGAATTTAAGGCTTTGATTTTTTGATATGTAAATAAAATTATATTTACCCTGGTCCAGGTCCACCTTGAGTGAGATCAAAAACTTGACGTGGGTTCAACAGCCATTGGAACTTTTGCAACAATTTAACACCCTGATTGCCTCCACTTTTTGGATTAATAAAAACTAAAACTGGCTTCACATTAGTAGTCGGTATCGGCTTGATAACAAACGGTTTGTGTTCATTCTTTGAATCTTTGCCTTTCTTCTTTGAAGCATTTTTCTTTTTAGGAGATTTCCTTAAAGACGACTTAAAGCTTCCCTTTCGTGGCAACTTCACGATCCACGAAGGTGGCACTATTATATTGGACTGAGAGCCTAAAATTATAATATTAATTACGACTCTCTGATAATGAAATAATCAAAATGATAATTGTATTGAAATTATTGCTGTACCTAATGAGCATTCTTCTCCTATTCTCTGTAGATTAAAGCAGCTTTCTTTATTGTGGTATGCATCCTTACACCAGGAACAACTTAGTGCTACGATTTCCTTTGAGCTAAATGATAACTTTGCTTGTAACGACTGAAAACAAATGACACATTTACTATTGAGATTTACTACAATCGAATTAATTAAGATAATTTCATTGATGTCATATAGCACTAATTAAAACAATAAAATGCAAACAACAAGCAAAGCACCAATGTGTTTGCGGTAGGCGGCAACACATTGAGTATACCCACACGATCAGTGTTATCATTGGCTACTTCCATAGCCTTGTCTACAGAAGATTGTTTTGTTATGCACCACCCACAGCAACTGCGCCGGTATGACTGGGACAACAGAACAACCATGCAACAAACATGCAAAATTAATAAAAACAAACATAACTAAACGCATCAACCAAAATTATAAACATCCTTAGGCATAAACCGAAAATAAAACAAAAATTGTAACACTCGAATGTGTAATTCATTAAAAAAAATACATATTCAAATAAATATGTTATGTGTAAATTGTCTCTAAAGAATAATAAAATAATTAGAATAAACATAATTTTAGCTACATTAGTATGTGAAACATCTTTGTGGAATGATTCTAAATTACTCATGCAAATAACTAAATTCTACTTTGTCATTCTGACTGAAGCTCTTGTAAATTAAGAGCTGTTCAAAATTCCTGTTTCAGAATAAAATAATATGTTTATGGCCTTTATTCAAAGTATTAAAAGTAGAATTATACTTTCAATTTTATTTTTTAAATCATAATTTTACAATATAAAATACTTATAAAAAACTAAACATTAACTAGCTGGTATCATTACTATAAATACTAAATCATAAAGCATACTCGTAATAGAACGTACGTGAAGCCATGGAAACACGCTCAAACATTACATACAAAAAACAAATGGTAATAAAACGAATGTACTCCACAAATGTTGCCTAGCTGTGTTTAAATATGCATGCGCCATGCGTGCAATATGCTAACACGTCATTAAAAATGAAACTTTAATTTTGCGTTGTAGAGCTTTGACAGCACGTGCCGTGTCGCATGCGACGTAAATGCAAATGATTTCAAAATAAAGGGAAACGTGGGCGCCCAAAGGTCGCGTTGGGGGCGAGCTGGAAAGGGCGAAGGGGGGACTGGCAGGGTGACGCGACTTGATGTTTCTATACGCTCATTCATAATCGAAGCGACAAACAAATTTTATGAGCTTGTAACTCGGTACCAATCAACGGGGCTCTAATTTTATTATGTCGCAGACCAAGTGTCTTTACAGCCTCATATAAAGTATAAATATACTCTTTTACACGAGGAAACGCTGTGATTTTTAAATGCCAATATTAAACCTGATTAACCGGATCATAATCTAAGATAAAAAAAACTGCTCTGGTAAAGTTATATGGATGTAATATTTTCTATGAGCAAACTAGTTTATAATTATGCACGTTATTCGGTTTTATCCCACTATTACTATATGAACACAAATTAGTACAAGTACATATTAAATTATTATGCTCGTAATATTTGGACAAAACCGATTACCACGTTTTGTTTTTTAGTAAGAGATTCAATAACAACATTTTTGTTTCCTCATTTAGTAACGAATTTACTATAACATTCAAGTAATGATCAACGAGTGAAAAAAATAGTGTGAAGCTATAAGTACCGAACCTCGACATTTGTATTGAAGATAATAAACAATTTCACTTTGCCAATTTTGGCAAAGGTCGGATTCATTGTACATCGGTTAATTATAATGATTGTGGATGTAAAAACCCGGTCGGTCATGAGGAAATTACAAGTGATTATGGAAACTTGTGTTTCATATACTTGATATGGCAAGAGCGACTGACGTTGGAACGTAAAATTTAATTGATTTAAAAGTTGATAGCCCTTATTATTTACCAAAATGGTGGTCTAAAATGATGACATAGAACAATGCTATACATGAGTTAATTCATTTAGTGACAATTAAAACATGGTGATAGATTAATAACGAGTTAGCATAATGTTATCACGGCAAAATAATTAGTTGCTTTTTAAAACTGCAAGGTGCATTACCTAACAAAAAGCCAACTGCCAGCACTTACCTTACCGCAAGCTTTGCACTTGCCCTTTTCAGATCTCCGGTGTACCCAGTGATGGTGAGTTAGGGTCTGTTCTCGGTACTGGCGCACGCCTACGTCTCTGAACGTCGGCTTGCAGGTAAACTGCATCCTGTCCATGAGGATGTCGATGCACGCTGTATGAGCAACGATCTTGCACGCAGAACATTTCATACGAGACCCATGTTTCTATAGAAATAAATGATAGTTAAATAAACTTGTGCCTAATAAATAATTTTATCTTAAAAACCTATGACAAAAATACTAATAATTGCTGCGAGCTTACGAAATAAAATATTCGATTCAACAAAGACGTGATAATTTTTGCATATATTAAATTAAGTTAAGTACTTGTCGTTATTTACACTAAATATAATACGTAGGTAGACACGAATTAAAAAAAAGTTACAGTATCATTTACTCTAAAAGACACAATTTTATAACGTGTAATAGAAATTTAATATTGTGTGGGTGATACGTCTAAAGTGAATTAAGTTTTATGCAGAGGTGTCAACTTATTTTTTCACACATAATAAATTATTATCAGCGAAGAGGTGGTTTTAACGTCAAGTTTATTAAATCATTTTATACTACAATTCCTCACATTTCTTATTTAATTTTACATCCAACGAAATGTTATATTAAATTTTGGAGACAGGTAAAATATCACGGCTACCTCTAAAATTGTAGTTAATATATAAATTCATTTTATAATATGAAAAGAAAACCGTAATTCCAATACAAATCGTTTTTTATTTCTAAACGACGGTGGTTAAATTATCGGAAAACGCAAACCGCCGGCGATTAGTTAATAATTGTCGCTATAAACTCAAAGCCAGCCTTTTGTCGCATCGACAGTGACAGGTCATCGCTGCGGCAATGGCCGTGGGCCCCTCATTAATCTTACATTCAACTAACGACATGTCTACCAGCCGCTATATAATAGACTGGAACTTGGTAATTGCTGTTGTGGAAATTGTAATTTTCTCCGCCTTGAATAGAATAAGCTGGTTCACCGTGGAATTCATTTTGTCTCGTATTTTCCGCATAAAGTAAATAAGCACATAAAAGAAATTCAGAAGTTTAACATATTTGTTAGAATAAAATGAATAGAAGGACTTTCTAAGGAACTCCATACTTTTACAGTTCAGTAATTGAAATCAAACATTAATTTTTTCACTAAGAAAATCTCGTTAAAAAGACCAAGACTAAGTAAATAAAAGAATCCAAACTACGAAAGAAAAAACATTTCTACAACTTCTACGTTTCCATCTAAGCTTGCAGCAGGCAAACTTGTTAAAGAATATTCACAACTAGTTACTAATCAGTCCGACAATACAAGACGGTATGTAACTATAAATGCAAATAACTTCGTTAAAACTCAATCTACAACTCTATAATAGGCGAAATATCTTGAAAGGTAAGAGAACAAATGTTTGCATAGTTTACGGAATAACATAGAATATGTTCTTAGTATTTGTGGTATTAATCAAATCGCTTGAAATATCTTGTTTTACAGGTGAAAATTAGTTCTCTTGTTTTGGTGGCAACATTTACCTGGCAATCGGCATCACCAACGTAGCAGCAGTCACCCGACACTGAGGTGGGCGACCAGAGATGCTCGCCGCTAACGGCCGCGTCTGACCAGTCCGGCGTTGCTCGCAGCACGCGCGCGCCCGCCGCCGGACCCTCGCTGCTGCGTCTACAACAAACATATAATTCAATTACAATTTAATTTACAAAAAAGTAACTTTACTTTATTACACCAGATTTTATTGGTCTTACTCCTCTAAAAATCTTAAGAACTGTTAAAAGACTGCTTCGTTTAATTCGATGCTTATTCAAAAATTGTAATTTGTTCTTAAACCACGAATCATATTTAATAACAAAAACTATTTGATGAAATCGGTGTAGTTTCTTGATATAAAAACATAAATGACTAAACTAAATAGTTTACGAAGTTACGGGACGGAAATAAATAAAAGTAGCTCCACATTATACACTTTCACGATAAAGTTCTTTGAACAAGTTTAGGGTCTGCAGAAATTATGCAGATGAGTAAGAGTAAATTTAATTTATTTTAGACCCTTTACTTTTATATATGTGCGAACTGGCAATTTTACGAAACGGGTCCTCGTTATGTTGCTCTTTAGATACTTTTTAGATACCTTGATTTTATGTCCGAACAGGTTTTATCAAAGTATACTTCGTATTGATTATAAAATATTATTTCATTTACTGTTAAAAATCCGGATCTGATATAAAAAATCTATGTCTCATTTTTTTATTGAAAAATAAAACAAGTGTAGCGATTCCGGAGGGCTCATTTGTATTTTTTTTTATTTCGTTTAATGTGTAATAAACATACAAAAAGTACGTACACATCGCTTCATAAAAACTTTTACAACGTAAATCCGTCTGAAGGAGCGTTTGACTCTTCTAGACGAGTATTGTAAATTCATTAGTTTTATCTTCCACTACTTTTCACAAATGTTAACAATCATATAGATTTTAATTATTTCTTCAAAATAAATTCTGCAAACCATATTGCACAACAGCATAATTCGTGACATCATGCGTTAAAAAGAAGTTTTGTTTACTTCGTGTGTCAAAAACAATTTTATTTCTTCCAGAAAAAAATAAGTTGTCATGAATTCAATATAAAAAGAAAGGTACACTTTCCAAGTAACTTAAACTTAGAAGAATAGCCGAAAATTATTGTTTTCGATTATTCAGGACCCAACATTTACTTTCACTCAGCTAAAACATTTATGCGTTCAAGAATTCATGTTACAATCATGGGAATTCTGAAATCCTTCATGCTTACTAAGTATAGTCCAAGAACATTTTAATAATACAACGTTATTTTTTATTTTCTACAAAAGGAGAAATGTGTTTTAAAAATTACTATATTTAAAGGTAAATTTATATTATCTATATGCGTGCAATATGCAGGCCAACTACAATATGATCCTGGTACAAAATAAATTTCAATTTAGAACAGAACATGAAAAAGAATGTTTAAAAAATTTAAATGCGTTTGCTCCATTTCCATTTTTCCTCAGTCGCTAATTATCCGTCACAGTAAAAACATTAGCAGTAAAATATATAAAAATTGAAAATTTTTTCAAAAGTAAAACATCATCATCCCTTTTTCTTTAAAGTCTAGTAAGGATTTATTTTTTTTCGGAACCGTTTTTTTAAGATTTACTGATTTCAGTGGAACAATCACATCGACATCGTGACCATCAGCTGAGCTGATTTATCGGAAGATTTTTTGGAAGGCGTTTGTTTGGTCTCAAGTCTTTATTCTCGTTGTATCCTCTACGTTGAAGATCTGTCCATTTTTGTTTCCACTGCTTTTTATAGCGTCCTTGGAACCCACAACGTTGAGCACATATTTGTAGAAAGTCACTAATAATTTGTGTCAGTTTCAGATATTTGGCAAAAATGGAATGCGCTCACTGCAACCGTACCATGGATGGCTGCGCGTCTATCAAGTGTAGCCTGTGCGCCTCGCAGTACCACCTGGAGTGCGTCAGCAGCGAGACGCTGGTGCCCAGCACGAACAATTGGTGCTGCTGCAAGTGTAAGCCCCTCAGTACCAACGTCTTAGCGACCAGTGCCGTAGAAAACATCATCAAAGTATAAATTATAGTGACGTCGATCGTGTTTTGGTACCAGTGTTATGTTCAGTCTTATTAAAGTGTAACGTTTCTAATTTTGGTTTTTATTACAACCTAGTTTGTTCTATTGGTAAGTCTTTGTTGGTAAGGTTAGGTGAATTTATTTCTGAATAGTGTAGTCTCCGCCATATTAAACAACATTCAACATTTACACGTTGACTAGTGTATCCACGGTTGCAATATCAATACCTTAAGATGGACCACGGATGAGGACTTCCATTTGATGACACACAGCTTTTTTGTACAACTCGCTAATGTAAGGCTATTATAATGTTTCAAAGTTTAGATTATTTTTACTTAAGGCCATGCATAGTTTAACGCCGTTATTCTCAATGTATAAACTTTATTCGGGCAGGTGCAAATAGTCTAATTACGATAAAGTAGTGCAGAATGTCAAGTCCACCTAAGCGCTTACACGAATTTCATTCACACGAAGCATTCAATTTTATTAAGATTTGTGCAGCGCCTTTACTGCATTTCTAAATCTCATTGACGGAAACGAATTACATGAAGTCGAACCAAAAACTCTAACCATTCGTTAGTTTTTGGTTCGATAGTAGTTGGGAAACCGACCATAACAGAGATAACCTAAACTGTCAACATTGAAAAAGGCGTTTTAGTCGAACCTAACCATTTGTACAGTTCAGTGGCTATAATAAAAGAATGTATTGCATATTTTTGTAATTGAAAAGGGGGCGCTGCAGAGCTGTCATAACTTTTTGGTTTGGCAATTTCATTGCTTTATGTCACATGATCTGTCACGTGTTGCGAAATTGTTATATTTCACCACAGCATAGTTTTCTCTTATAAACATTCGTGTTTTTAAAAAACAATAAATACGATAAACACTAACAATGATGTTCCGAGGTTGTTCACAAAAGATTCCTAATCTATTGGGGGAATAAGAGGTCTTACGACTACAAAGAAAGCTTCCAGCGCAATTTTTCACCTGTCAATGAGCCATCATTGTGTTTTTTTTGACAAACCTCGTATACATATTGATGTTTATAGACATCTTGATATAAATAGTAGGGAAGTAGTAATTAAATCTCAGCCCTACGCACATGAGAAATCAATTACTTATCGCTGTACTTAGAGTCTTGTATAAATTTTATTCTAATCAAATAAACAATTTTTTACATTAAATTGTTTAGTTGTATTAAATTTTTTACATCACCTTTTTTGTATGTTAGTCGTATCTAAAATATTTTAAGTAAATTTACGTTAGATTTATGTAAAAATATGTCGAAGTCAAGATATTGTTTTGATTTACAAATTATTACTTCATTTATTGCAGCTTATCTTTATCTTTAAGCAAGTTACATCATTTTAATAATATCATTAACAGTAAGGAATTTAAGTTTATTTTTATGTTGTGTTTTGCTATATCCGTGTTTCAAGTATTACAAGTACTTTATATCCATTTGATGTGTCAATTACAAAACAAACCAATGCTAATTACACATGTAAAGTATTTGTACGTGTATAATTTACTTTAGATAGGTATAAAATATATTTTCCTTACACTTGAACTTTGCATACTACATTTTTCCATTTATTTATTCCAGCATGATTTTTAAGCCATATTTTATATATTCACCAACATAATATTAATTATAATTACATATTCAGAACCGGGCGTGTTTTGCCGCCACACGCCGCCGCACGGTGGCGCCAGCGAGCAATTCCGAGATAATCTCTACATTTAAAGCCGTGGCCTTTGAAAGAGGGAAGTGGGTGCTCTTGAAAAAAGGAAAAGGAACCCCGAGTGCTTTAATCAGTTCATGGTTTGGGTTAATTTTCTTGCCTTGATATTTATTTCGTATACAAGTAATAAATTCTAGTATTTCTAGCTTTGTCCCAATAAAATGTTTTCCTAAGGAAACTTGGTAGATTTCAAGGATCTGAAGATTTTATCATAAAAATCTATAAGTATGAAATATGTTTTTTAAGCTTTAGTTTGGAAAATTCAAATCATCTCACTGATATTACTAATTTCTCTCAATAAAGAATTCATGTTTTATTTATATTTAAACTGCAGCTTACTATTCAAGTTTAGTGGTAGTTTAACTAAAATCATGTACAATTGGTGATCATGCGATTGTTTTAAATAGAAGTACTAAATAAAGTATAAATCAATAGTAGGAAATATCAAGCATATTAGCAGTAGGCACGGATAAATAATAATTTAGTTAAAATAGTCTTACTGTTCATAGTGATAGCGTCTAAATTGCTAAAACATTAGGTTATGACATAAGAAATGCAAAGTCATTGTATGAGATGCAACTGAGATCCTGTTTCATGTACGAAATACTACAAGCCGCTATTATCTACACTCGTCTATCTATCTCACAATTCCTAACTTATTTAAATCAATTAAATCCGACTTACAATTACCACATTATCACGATAAAGGACTTTCAACTGTGCGATAAAATAAAGAGAAGTAAACAAAAAAAATTAAGTGATTAAAACCATGAAAGCCAATTCTTGCTTATTTCAACAAAGAACCATTCGATTTTAAATAACTACAAATTAATAGGACGATAAATATATTTAATGAGTGTTCCCAGTGGAAATGTATGTTAACAATTTATCATAAAGCGCCTCAAGAGCTTCGAGAAAGATGTTTACTTTGATGTAAATACGTGTTCATAATAAATATTAAGTACAAAGCATTGTAGGCTTTGACTTGAATGCTAAGTTGTTGTTTATCGATGTAAGAGACAGCCATCCGTTTTTCCCCTCAGATATTACGTAACGAGATTAAACGCAAAAATGACAGAATATGTTGTAGATACGATCATAAATTAATGCAAAATATTAAGGTTTTGTAAACCTTGTGTGGGATAAGTCCAAGGAGCTGATGATAATCAAATGTGATAAGAATTGGAGTTGAAATTGTTGAGTTTTCCTTCTATACTTTTTTTTGTAATTTTTTTAGTAATCATAATGTGAGCTTCCTACCGAATCACATGTATAATGTATTTAAGAAACTAATTTTTGGAAGAGACAATGTTATTGGTAAGTCGCGTTATTATAAGTTATAAATGAATGTTTGTTACAAACATTTGATTGACCTAGAATCTAGAACCTAATGCAATTTTGTCGGGATCGGATGGAGCGAGAAAATATGTCAGATCGGAAATGGAAATCGATTTTATCTTTTTGTATGTTTTTCTATATACGATTAGAGTTTTGACATTGAAACGTTTTTGTTAACATTGATATAAAATGTTCATGTGCACTGTCCGCTTTCCGATAGCACAAGCTTTAGTTAGTTCCATTGAATATGAAAACATTCCACAAAACTGACGTGCTGTTAGGCTGCGACGAATGTTCGCCACGCACACATATAAAAATTGTGGGTGCATTTAAAATATCTGTACACACGAACGATGCGAGTACGACAAATAACAAACACGCAGTTCGCTTTGTGGGACCACGGGTGTTTATTCAAAACAAATGTCATATAGCTTTTGTTTCTTTTATGTAAAAAAGGGATGCGGTCGTATGTATTTCACGAGCATCTATTTTAGGTCTCATAAAAATGATGTTCGTGTATTGTTTTAACAATTAATATATTTGTTATTAGTGTAATTAACTTAAACACTCAGAGCCACTGTTCCGCCATGATGGCGTGCTATTCCAATACGTCACATGACATTGACAGCTGTCAGATAGGGACGGAACGTCTATGCCGATGATCTAGTTTTGCGCCAATCCTACAGCACAGTACTAATTTTCAATTATAAAAATTACTGCTTTTAGACTAGAAAGCAAAAAAATATGTAAACTTAGGCATTGATAGTACAGAAATCTTGTAACATATTGCTCTTGTCCAAATAAGTTGCGTTAGGATTCTAGATAGAGCTAAAGGTGATATTTAACAACATTTTAAAAAAGGTTTGCACAATTCTCTTAATGTTACATATAATATAACTTATGAAGGTTAACTTTTCTTTAAGTTCTAAGGAAGAAAGGAGAATAATTGTGAGCGCTGTCAATATATTTTAGTATAATCATCTTGGTCATTAAGTGCACTTTGCATCTCAAGGGTACGCGCTTTTACCTTATTTCTTAATTGGGCATAAATAAAGATCACATTTAACATAAAGATTAATGGACGCAATTCTTCTCTTAATGAGTTCGATTGAGCACCCGTTGCCTTTTTAAAGATGCAGTGATGAGGTGCAAGTTGCCCTAATGATCGCTGGAATTCGATCTAACATGGCACTTTAAGAAGAGTTCGAAAAGTAAGTCCAAATTTATACTGAAAAATATACGTGTTATTTGTACTTACTGTTGCACTTGTAAAGGTCGAATCGTCGAATCTATAATCAGACATTTGGCACGACTGATATTATTTAATTATCAATAATACAAGTTAATGATTTGTTTACATTTTAACACGATAAATACTAAAAGGCCTTTAAAATATGTGATGACTACCGAGAAATCCATGGTTATGAAACTGCCAAAACAGTTGACATTCCACGAAATACCGCTGATCACCTCAATGAATCATATTTTTTTTAATATTGTTGGTAACCTTTTGACCGCCACGTCAAGAACGCATACTTGACGCAATTTTTTAACATCGTTCGTATGCAGTTTTATAGCTACCAAGAGACATATAAATATCATCAAATTACAGTAATGACCGGTTATGACCATGTTTATATAAAAGGAAGTACAAGTTTAACCAACTATATGGACATAGAGTACGTCATTCCAGGAACAAGGAACTACTTAAGACTGTTATTCGAATTATATTTGTTTTATCATAGGCTTGTTTTATCTACTTAAGATGAGGCTAAGAACGAAACCATAATTACCTAAGAAAACAAAGATTGTAAATTCAGCCAGCTATTGTAACAGTGACGTAAACATGTTTATTCTGTACGTTACTACTGTACTTTCTGTACGTTATTCTGTACGAGTAGAGTTGTATTTTAGGGATGGTGAATATACTAAATAAATAATACTATAAGGCTATTTGGAAAAGAGATTTTGTCTTGATTTATCCAGCAATGTTATTCGTATAAGTATAGGTTAATTCTGTTCGATTACATACGTGTAACTGCTGTAAAATTATGTGGAATTTTGAAACTAGTAAAGTTTTTAATTGTGTTTAAATATAGCTTATTCTTTTTTAACTTGTTTGTCATACGTTTTAATATTACTGTTTAAACCTACATAATTTGTGTTATAAATGTAGCCATTTAAAAGCTGTACAAATATGTACATCGATGAAGCACTGGGTTGATAAAAAAACGTATTAAAGCCTCGGGCTTCGTGTGACAAATTGCTATTGATTTTTCACCTACATATTTGAAACCGCTATTTAGTACTATGACAATTACGCTACACGATATTTAAAAAACGATTGAATACTGGAATTGGAGCTGGGCTTTGTTATTAATTTACCATTAGTTCACTGTTTTTTGTGCTATATACTAAAATACTTAATGCTAACTTCTTTTTACGTGTGGCATTACTACGCTGGGGGCAATAAACATTCATATCAAAAATGTTCATAAACATAAAGTTATATTTTATTAATAGTTACTAAACTTTATTAATAATTAAATATAGCCTATGTTACTCATGGATAAGTTACCTTTCTGATGGTGAAAGAATTTTTAAAATCGGCCCAGTAGTTTTTGACTTAATTCAATACATACAAAAATACAAAGATACAAATCTTTCCTCTTTATAATATTAGTGTAGATTATTGTAATAGGGAAGTGCCGGAATGTGCTAAACATTTGAAAAAATCGTTTGGTATTTTTACATAAAACACGCAAAATCCATTCGCACCACAGCGTGAGGCTCGGGTTAATAAAACTTTTATCTTATCGCAAAGGCTAGGCTGTGGTAAGCCGTGAAGTTGGATAGTTTGACTCAATTTATTTCTAGTTTATACCATTCTCCAACTGTTAAGTCAATGTTATATTACGACAAGTTCACATATTGTAAGTCAATAAAATCAGTGAGAATTGCAGATAGATAACTTTTTATTTTGTGGTAACGATGGAATGAACGTTATATTCTTGTTCAGATATCTTGTACACAATCTATGGTCCTTTATTTATAATAAATAAATAATAAAATAAAACACTATTTATTGACCAAAAAGAAAATTAAAGGAACATAACTTACAATTATTAAGTTATCTATAGATTAATCTTAAAACTCTAATGAACTTTGCAAATATGATCTTTGCAGTCTATGGTCTATTCAACTTTGTAAAAATCATTACTAAATAACCTTGATATATCTATAAAAAAGTGACAAGTACCAGGCATACATGTGTTAATAAGTGCTAAACATTTGAATACTGCTTATCGTTATTATTTGTATTTACTAAGATGGTGCGATTTGATACATGACATTTTGTATTCTTCATAAACGAGTTTTTTTCATAGTTGATATTCAATATCTTGATTATAAAAATAAAATAATTTTTCCGTTCAGTCTGACGAACGAGTTTTATGGTATTTATAATATACGCAGGTACCGAAAGCCGGATTTGTTATTGTATCTTTTGAGAAAAGATCACTTTTTGTGCTTGACTGATGGACCCGGATAAAATACAGCAAACAACTCGAATCATAAATCAATACTAACGTATTAAAAAGGTACAGTGCTGGGTTTAGTTGGACATTAAAATATTAGTTTCTTAATGCTTCATTATGATATAAACAACAATTGACGTGTATTTAAATCAACAAAAATTTCCGTCATAAGTAGTTTAAGGAAGTTGTGATATCAAAGGGCATAAAAAGTTAGTAGTTTTAAGAATGTACAAACACATGGAACTATATTGTAATACATAATTATTGATGTACGAAAAGTAAATGTTAATTATATTACTCTTTGCTTGTTTATACACTGAAAGGTTGAACATCTATGGAAAATATACATAGATAAGTAAGGTTATGTTCTGCAATGACAAACCTCCATTTAGCTGTCGATAGTAATCATGTTTTTGCATTTGTCAAGGCGCATGCAGTGATCCGTGACGTCACGGATGAGGCACTCAGTTCCAGTGGGCGCGCAGCCGGCTCTACGCTCATTTGCATAAAGCTATTGTGACATTCATAATGAAAGGTAATCCAATGCGGTGTAACATTGTAATATGACACAATAATGTAAAACGTACTAACTTAATTATTACAATTGTAGATTATACTAGCTGTTGGCCGCGACTACGTCCACGCAATAATATGATAAAAAGTTAGCCTATAGTGCCCCTCTATGTCAGCTACCCGTCAGTGAAAATGCGGTCGAAATCGGTCCAGCCGTTTCGGAGATTACCCGGAACTAACGCGGTTTGCGCACAGACAGACAGACAGACAAAAATGTTTAAATGCGATTTTCGTTACCAGAAATGCAAATACATTATCTTCCCCAAATCTGGAATTTTTCTTTTGGTATTACAAACAGACTCTCAGTTCAGTCCACAGAGATTGAATACTTTTATGCTCAATATTTTAATTAAAAAGTAAAGCCATTTAAAAAGTGAATTGTAGTTATGTAAATTTCATAGTTGACAATTTTCTTAGTAACATTGGATCATAACTAGGAGTAATTATTTGCATCATAAATAAAACCTTGAAAACAATCAACACTAACAGCTACCGTTTGTCAATTGTGTTTCAAGTTTCACTTGTTGCAATGGTTTTGCACTCAGTAAAATTTTAATAAATTCTTATTCACATTTGTCACCAATCAACAGACGCTAAAAATAAAAAATAAACACTTACGGTTTCGTTGGAAAATTAATTACGCGCAACACATTAGTCGGGACAAATATCAGCAAACGGTGTAATTCCTGTTTTTATGATCTATATTTTGACAGAAAATATAATTATTACTTTTATCTCTCCCGCGATCACAATTTGACACTTGATGCGTTTTATATTATGGAAAAATATTTTATCGAAGATAACGAACACACGTGGTGCACTGATAATTTGCAAGCGAAAGACTCTCGCTTTACAAATAATCACCGTATATAACGTCCGTACCTTTTTCTCGTTCTTTTCCTTCTCATTCTGAGGTTGGGACATTTTTTGAATACGGAGAATGATATAGCATTTAGGAATCCCATAGTATCACTTGACTCACTAATATCACTACGATTGTATTATGTTTGTGTTACCACAGATGGCATGGCGCGGTTCGCGGCCCGTTGGCGGAACTGTGACTAAGTCGTTAGCGGTTTGCGATCAGACCTGGCGAAGCGGTCGCGGAGTCTGCGGCCACTACCACAGGCTCGCACCTCGCAGCTCACACCACGTGCCTCACATAGAACGTGACCACCGCGAACACACGTATACTCGACACACCTACCAATATATACATATCTACAACACACTACTCAATTAATCAATTACGTAGACATTTAGAATTGCAATTACCTTTATACAATTTGACACATCTAATAAAAGATTTGCTTGTCGCTCTAATGACGCCATTTAGATTTCAAATGAAAGCGAAATGATTGCTTAATAATAATAGAGTTGAGTCAAGTTTACTTGATTATATTCTGCTTAATTTAACATACAAACAAGACGTCACAACGATAAGAAAACACTAACTGCTACTCTGAGAATCGTACCATAATCTTAGGGAGTCTCATAGCGTTGGTATAGTAAGTGAAATCTTCACTAAAAGTCTACTTAAGTAAGACTGCACTGTTGTGCGTAATAATGGTAAAGTGATCTTAATATTTACACATTTTTCTTATAAAAGTGGCTTTTGTAAAGAAAATGTAGAATATACTTTACTTGAAGCCGGTACGTCGGCCTTGACTTGCATTACCCTTTAAAGTAACGCACGAATGGACATGATCGTGACATGCGGCATCTATACCAGCACGACTAAACCTACTAATTGATAAATAATACAGAAAAATACTGTACATAAACTTGAAATGATTATTATTGAATTTTTCTAACGTATTTTATATCTTTTTACATATGGTAAGAGACCCAGTAATCGAAAGTAACCCAATAATTGATATTTTTGGGTTCGGTGCCTCACACTAAAATATTCAATATTTTAATTCGTGTTAGAAAATTATAACTTTTTTATAAAATAGTTCTATGTTGGTCAAAAACATTTATTATGAATAGATGACATTTATATGACTTTGTGAATAACATATACATAACCAATTAGGTCACTTAAAACGTTTACTTAAGCTTAAGATACTTCGAAACTCTATGCTGTATAGTTTTAATTGCCATTAAGCATTGGATTAAGAAATAGGAATCATTGTTTTGTTTATGCAACGCTGAAAATGTCTAAGTATAAATCGCCTAAAAAGATTGATTGGTAAACTCTGACGTCAATATCGTGGCTTTGATAATTAATTGTTATTACTAAAGTTGTAAGTCTGACGGCCACAGGATCCCGGGGTGTAGCGTAGTCTGACATCAAAAGCGTTCTAAGAGCCTGTCACTTGAACACGCCGTGTCGGTCGGCGCCCTCCGACTTGTGCATTAGGTCACCGCACGCCCACTTAATGACACACACAGAGTAAGTCAATCAATATACTACACGAAATAGCTGTTGATTTTCATTTGTCATGTTTTAGCGTGATGTTCTCTAAATGTCGTGGAGTTATCCGAATTATATCATTACTACCTTTCGCCCGCAACTCCGTTCGCGCGGAATAAAAAAAATAAAACTGAGCCTATGTGTTCTTCTAGACTATCCTCTATGTCTAAGCCAAATTTCATCGAAATCCGTACAGCTGTTTAGGCTACAAACTCTAACAAACATCCATCCACCCATCTAAACTTACGCATTTATAATATTTGTATGACAGACACGTATTAAAACTGTCTATCTGGTGTTATGACATTGGTAAAAGAGTTTATGACTAGCAAAAAGGTGTAGATATTAGACATGGCTTTCGTAAATATGTACATTACAGTTTTAAAATCTAAATAGAGTTAAAGTACCTTATTTGCTTGATAGCAGACGTCATTTAACAATGTCCAAGACTACATTTTACTGTCAGGTTTGTAAGGCCAAAACGATGCATATCTCTGCCTTTCATTTGCAAACAATTTTTCGGTTCTGTAAATGTACAGGCGAATACAAAGGGTTCCGTTCGTCTGCCCTTTTCTTATCGTATGAAATATCTAACTGATAAGGTATACACATGACATTCCTATTAAAGCAATTTCGCACAAAGTAGTCTCCAGTGTATTTTATATTGCTTAATATTTATATCGAAGTCTATGACATAAGAAAAATATTAAAAGAGTATTTTTAATATCATAAAACTTAATTATAAAGTAACGAGCTTTCGCCCGCGACTCTGTCCGAGTGAAATTAAAAATAAACAAAAGTTAATGTCCTATGTGTTCTGTTCTTTCCAGACTATTTTCTATCCAAAAATCTACACCGAATTTAATCGAAATCTGTTCAGCTGTTGGGAGTACAAACTCTAACAAACATCCATCCATCCATCCTTCTAAACTTTCGCATTTATAATATTAGTATGTTCTTAACATTTCTCTAAATATGGTACCAAAAATTTGTTAATGGGATCTCAAATGTAGCCGAGAATGATGAGACAGATGACAAATTGGAATTTTCATTTTAAAAGAAGATAATTTCTGCTAGCCCCTAAAAATTCTTGTTTGTTAAGACAAATTTAATAAACCCATAAGAAAGAAATCTTTTATAAATCAACCATTATAACGTTTCTTTTTAAAATACTAAATACTCAAAGCCTAATGAAAAAGAAAATAAATCACTATTACAAAGTAGGTGAATCAAAAAGGAACGAAATTAAGCAAAAACACACCTTTCTAAGCAGTTAGAACTTAATTTATTTACAGCTACAGGAATATGAAAAGGAAAAAGGTCTTTCGTGTAAATTAATTAGATTTTTCATTGTTTATTTAAAAATACATGTGAAAAGGAACAGCATTATTTATCTACAATTACATTGTTAGTCCAGATTTTTAAAATACGTAATGTAAGAAAAATAAATTCATCCCAAAATGAATGTGAAGTAAAATCAAAAGTTCTCAGATAAATAAAAGGAAGAAATAGTCAAAATATTATTTTTTTATAACAGGAAAGAAAACGGAGTAAAGGGTGTAAATCAAACTTATAGATCTCTCTTTTATTAGGATTTTTCAAAGAAGTCAAACGGCGTATTAGAATCTTCTGATATCTCGTTGCAAAAGGATATCGGTTACGGAAATAGTAGAAGCCGTGCTAACATTTAATACGATCCCTGTTTTGTACTCGAGTGATTTTTGAAATAAGAAGTAAAAAGATTGATTTAACAAGGAAAATCACGCAAATTTGTTGAAAAAACATCTTTCAATCTCGACATTTTGAGATATGTTACATAATTTCAAAGCCAAGTTAGCGAAAAAATCTAAAAAACGGAGTAAAAGAGAGTATCATAACAATTAACCCACGATGTCAGAAGGCAATTAACCTACACACGCCTTAACCTAAATCAAATGACGTGATATTTATCAATGCTATAACTTGGCTGTAACGAAATGTTTCGTGTTATATGCATAACAATCGTTCTTTACGTTTTTAATTCTTATTTTAATTAACAATCACCACATTAACAATTCGTCGAATTACCTTTAAGTTGACCTTTCATTCTTTGAAATTTCACTTCATCGAAAACCAAATATCACACGCCTACGCTCTAAATCAATTTTTATCGATAAAAATGGCTTTTGTCACTCTTGTTACACCTATTTAATAGTTGAATATTTATTTCATTTATCACAGTAGTTTCAGTATA